CTTCTTACAGCAGCTGGATCAGCCTCAAAATTCTGGACCTCTCTGAAGAAGTGCATTTGAATGCACTTGAATAGGCACCTCACTCAAGAATATCAAGTACCTAATGATTAGTTAAAGCAGTAGCTCAGAGAATGTAAAGGCCTTCTCAGCGGAAGAAAAATGATCAGACTGCAGAGGGAGGTGTGTGTGTAAGAGAAAGCTCTAGAAATTATGCAGGGCTATTTCTTAAATGCTGTAGTAGTATCTTGTTCTATAAGAACAAATATATATGAAGCAAAGTAGTGATATGGTAACTTGAGAATAAAATAGATGATAATATCCCAAATTTAAGTGTGGGGGGTGGTGGTTTGTTTTTGTTTTATTTTTTGTACAGTGGTACTTTGGGTTACATACGCTTCAGGTTACATACGCTTCAGGTTACATACACTTCAGGTTACAGACTCTGCTAACCCAAAAATAGTGCTTCAGGTTAAGAACTTTGCTTCAGGATGAGAAGAGAAATCGTGCTCCAGCGGCACAGTGGCAGGAGGAGGCCCCATTAGCTAAAGTGGTGCTTCTGGTTAAGAACAGTTTCAGGTTAAGAACGGACCTCCGGAATGAATTAAGTACTTAACCCAAGGTACCACTGTATTCTCATTTTCTGCTGTGAACCACCCTGGGATCTTTGGATGAAGGGTGATACAGAAATTTAACAACAACACAGGGCCAGCTCTACTATTAAGCAGAGAGAGGCAGCTGAATTGGGGTGTCATGAAAGGGCATCCAGTGGCTAGTCATTGGGGATGGGTGGCTACATGGAGAGAGCTACAGGGCAATTGGCGTCCCATATGCTATGTTGCTGTGCTTACCAAGAGGAGGAGGGAAGGTGGCAGAAGCTGGCGCTGGGCAAACACAGCAATGGGAGTGCCAGATTGACTCTGCTGCTGTGCTTGCACCATGCCAAGCTCAGCAGGTGTAGTTTGTCATGCATGAAAAGTCATGTGGGCTTATTTACAAGGCAGAGGTCTAGGATTGCAGCCTAAATAACTCACCCCTGGAGCAAAGCAGGGATTTGAAACAATTAGGTTAGTGCACGAATCCTGGGACATTCCAACACTATGCTGAAAAAAAGAGCTTCACACGAGCTAAGGTAAAGGTAAAGGGACCCCTGACCATTAGGTCCAGTCGTGACCGACTCTGGGGTTGCGGCGCTCATCTCGCTTTACTGGCCGAAGGAGCCGGCGTACAGCTTCCGGGTCATGTGGCCAGCATGACTAAGGCATTTCTGGCGAACCAGAGCAGCGCACAGAAATGCCGTTTACCTTCCCGCCGGAGCGGTACCTATTTATCTGCTTGCACTTTGAAGTGCTTTTGAACTGCTAGGTTGGCAGGAGCAGGGACCGAGCAACGGGAGCTCACCCCGTCATGAGGATTCGAACCGCCAACCTTCTGATCAGCAAGTCCTAGGCTCTGTGGTTTAACCCACAGCGCCACCCACGTCCCGTGAGCTACTCATCACTATTCTCAAACGTCAGTCAATGTGAAAGCAATAGCTCTAAAGCCTGGTGACCCTTCTGACCATTTGTGGAATGGAGATGAAGTGGTGTGAAAGCAGAGTTAATAATAAAAAGCCAAACTTACTCATGAGCTACCAAGTGAAGTGTAAATTGCTTTGTGCTTCTGTTGGAATCTCATATAAGTTATTGCTGCCTGGAAAGTTTCATCTTGTTAATTTCCATTAGTCCTAAAAATAGCACTCCACAGCCACATTCAGGGTTTTCTCTCTTAGGCTTCTCAGATTTAATCAATATTTAGGAATGGCCATTTAATGATTTTTAATGCACATAATTTCTTTCAAATATGTGTGTCTTGCTTCACAGAAATAATCTCCAAGAGGCATACAAGAGAGTATACAATCACAAATCTGCAAAGCTAAAATATATATTTATGTTTATGTTTATGTTTTTTATAAATGTCTATATTAAAATATTTTTTAAGATTAAAAATGGTTCAAACAGATTCTCAAAACAAAACAAAATGGAACATTTCCGGAATGTGCATGTCATCTAAGAGATACATAGTTTCAAAACATAGTAAAATACTGGCTCTTGTTACTGAGTAGCACAATCTGGAAATAATTGATGATCAGAGAGCAAAGAAATACACTTCTAAAAGGTGTCTGAAACATGGCACATTCAAAATGGCATGAGTGATGGTATTCCAGGGTTTTGGTGACACTACAGAGAAGGACCGTTTCCATAATATTACAAGGTGACAGGGCATCTTCCAATGATGGTAGTGGCCTACTGGGTAGATGATATGCTGTATCCTGGTCACAAGTTCTATAGGTTTTTATATGGCAGTGGACACTTGCTAGGAAATGAGATAGCTTGAATATAGTGCAACTTACTTCTGAGTAGACAAATGTAGGGTTGTGCTGTCAGTCATGAAATCCTAAAGTCTGCTAAGACCATATTTCTGCTTCGACCTTCAATCAATTCTTCGGTCAAAATCTAAAGCTTGTGAAAAGCTACTGCCGTTGAGTTTGAGTGGTGCTTTCTTGAGAGGCCTCAGACCATGGAGAGTTGTTATGATTTGATTCCACCTCCACCTTCACAGCATTTGCAGACGTGATTCGCAGAGTGAGAGCTCTCTGATCTTCCTTCCTCAAGCACAGTAGGCAGAATCCAGCAGGTCACGACTAAGGGTGGAATGAGACGTTGATGAGGAACAGAAACGTGACACCAGGAACACTCAACAAGAATGTCCTTCTTTTTTTTCTTTTTTGTTGTTGTTGGCTTATAAACCATGGCTTGCTTAACTATGGTTTGTTATATCGTTTTGTTTTATTTGATTGAATAATAAAACAGACAATACAAGCGACATTGCAGACATTAACAATAAAAATTATAATATAAGTTAAGTTCCAGTTCAAAGAAATTCAGCTTTAGTCTTCTCAGAATAATAATAATTTTATTATTTATATGCCACCCATCTGACTGGGTGACCCCCTTTGGGCATCTCCCAACAAAATATTAAAAACACAACAAAACCTCAAGCACTAGAAACTTCCCTGTACAGGGCTGCATTCATATATCCTCCAAAAGGCATGTAGTTATCCATCTGTTTGACACATACTGGGAGCCAACGTAGATGTTATATGGTCTCAGCGGCTGCTCCCGGTCACCATTCTGGCTGCCGCATTCTGGATTAGTTGTCATTTCCGAGTCACCTTCAAAGGTGGCCCCACACAGAAGTGCATTGCAATAGTCCAAGCAGGAGATAAGCAGAGCATGCACCACTCTGGCGAGACAATGCGCAGGCAAGCAGGGCCTCGGCCGTCATACTGGGTGGAGCTGGGAGACAGATGCCCTGAGGCAGCTGGGGTGTATGGGGGCAGAGAAGGACTCTCTCTCCTGAGCTTCCCTGACTACTTCCCTCTTTGTTCTGGCATCTAGAGTAATTTGCTTTTCCCTCCCAGAAGCAGATGATGATGTGTAATGCGGTGGGAGGCAGGAGAAAGTCCTACTTGCGACATCATGTCACATGCTCCCATTACTACATACTGTACTACAGGGGAGAAGATGAAGAACTGAAAATGAGGCTGCCATTTTTGGCAGCCATCCCATGTTCCCACCCCAAGTCCCACCTTGAGCCCATTTGCAAATTGTTGGGTCTTGTTTTTGTTTCAACTGAGTCCTGTGCCATCACTTTCTATGAGAATTGCTTATTCTGACTTACTTTTTGCTGAATTTACATCATAAAGCCTTTCACTGTTCACATGTTCATCTGCAGGTTGGCAAGGAATGAAACATTGGATTTGCATGTGCAAATCAGCGATCAATCCTGCATCTTTTATGTATCCCAAATGTTCAGATGATACAATTTTGCCTAAGCTCATCTCCTTTGCTGTCTATTAATGAAGAAATTCTACCCATCTGCATGCTGTTTTATTTCCACTAATAGGTGTGTTCACACATTACGCTGGACACAGGGACAAGCTGTCTGTACACGCGCAAGTGCTTGTGTGAAAGAGGGTGTGCTTGTTCATAGTTGTGTAGAACTCAACTATTGTGTGCACAGGTGCACTGACTGTGCACTTGCTGAACATTATGTGTGAATAACTGAACAAGTGTACAACTGAACTGTTGGGTATGCAGGTACACAGACTGTACACTCACTGAATGTAGCATGTGAACACCCCAATGACTTTATTTGTTTTTCTGAAAAGTATGAACCTTTAAGCTAGGCTTCAGCAACCTTCACCTCCCAGATACTTTGGATTACAGTTGATGGGAGTTGTAGTACGAAACCTGTTGAGGGCACAACATTGGTGAAGGCTGGTTTAAAACTTCACCAAACCTATTTTAGCAAGGCCCAAAACAACAACAACAACAACAACAACAACAACAAAATTTTATTTATATCCCGCCCTCCCCAGGCGAAGCTGGACTCAGAGCAGCTAACAACAGCAAAATGATACAACATTCTACAATCATTTCATTATAAAATCAGTTCAAATCAGATTAATGGCAACCATTGGGCTCTGTGAGGATTGCCAAAGGAGGGGGTCAGGTTGTGCCCTGGCCAAATGCCTGGTGGAACAGCTCTGTCTTGCAGGCCCTGCAGAAAGATGTCAAGTCCCGCAGGGCCCTAGTCTCTTGTGACAGAGCGTTCCACCAGATCGGAGCCACAGCCAAAAAAGCCCTGGCTCTAGTTGAGGCCAGCCTAACTTCTCTGTGGCCCAGGACCTCCAAGATGTTTTTGTTTGAAGACTGTAAGGTCCTCCGTGGGACATACCAGGAGAGGCAGTCCTGTAGGTACGAGGGTCCTAGGCCATAAAAAATGGCTCATGTCCTGATAGTCTTTTGTTTTAAATAAAGTGTTTTTCAGCAGTAGTTGTGCTAAACAGCCATCATTTACACCCCTTCTCCCACTTGGTGGAAGAGATTTTTACATGTCATTTTTCCTCCAGATGAAAAAACAACAACCACTCATGTAAACTGTCTTTTGATTGACAGGTCGACAGGACGGAAGTGATCCGAACTTGCATAAATCCCATCTTCTCAAAGCTTTTCACAGTGGACTTCTATTTTGAAGAGGTTCAACGGCTGCGATTTGAAGTCCATGACATCAGCAGCAACCACAATGGGCTTAAGGATGCAGACTTCCTTGGTGGCATGGAATGTACTCTTGGACAGGTAGGAACCATGGCTTTCCTGCTTATTGCTTTCTGGGTAAATCTATAACTACTGGCAAAACTCGTTTGTTGTGCTTTCTCCATGTGGGAACTGGATGAAATGAAGGTTTGAATTTGATGGCTTTTTTATCGTTGCTGTTATTATAATTCTGTTTTAACACAAAGGCATCTCCTCACAACGGTCTGGTTACAGTCTGTGTACAGTAGCTTACACATGCACCCCATCCCTGCAAAAGGTAGCTATTTTGGAAACTGCACCAGAGCCCACCTCTCCATCATCTTAACCCAGTGCTTTAACTATACGGACCTTTGTTGGCAAGGTGATGTCTCTGCTTTTTAAGATGCTGTCTAGGTTTGTAATTGCTTTTCTCCTAAGAAGCAGGCATCTTTTAATTTTGTGGCTGTTGTCACCATCTGCAGTGATCATGGAGCCCAAGAAAGTAAAATCTCTCACTGCCTCCATTTCTTCCCCTTCTATTTGCCAGGAGGTGATGGGCCCAGTGGCCATGATCTTCGTTTTTTTGATGTTGAGCTTCAGACCATATTTTGCGCTCTCCTCTTTCACCCTCATTAAAATAATAATAATAGTAATAGTAATAATAATAATAATAATAATAAGGTGCACTAAAGGGGAGGGAGAAACTGCAGCTCTTTTGGACCCAGGTGGCACTGTGGGTTAAACCACAGAGCCTAGGACTTGCCGATCAGAAGGTTGGCGGTTCGAATCCCCACGACGGGGTGAGCTCCCGTTGCTCGGTCCCTGCTCCTGCCAACCTAGCAGCTCGAAAGCACGTCAAAGTGCAAGTAGATAAATAGGTACCACTCCAGCGGGAAGGTAAACAGCGTTTCCGTGCACTGCTCTGGTTCGCCAGAAGCGGCTTAGTCATGCTGGCCACATGACCTGTATGCCGGCTCCCTCGGCCAATAAAGCGAGATGAGCGCCGCAACCCCAGAGTCAGTCACGACTGGACCTAATGGTCAGGGGTCCCTTTACCTACTAATTCCTGTCACTGGTTGTCCAAATATCTCACTTATCAATCACTACTTTGTTTTGTTTTTTTTAAAGATATTTATTGAAATTTTCCAGTTAGTACAATAAAAAATCAAAAAAGAAAAAACAAAAAATTTTAAAAACACATAAAGTTTACAATCCTTATTTTTCTATAACCTATTTCCCTGACTTCCCCACCCCTCCCCTTCTTGTATTCCAATTCAAATTATTAGTTCAACAAGTTCTTATCCCCAATTCTTAACCTTTTTCTATTTAGTTCATTTAAAAAAAAACCAATTTTACCTTATAAACATCAATATTTATACCTCAATTCTCATTCTTAAAGCTTTTTTTTCTTTCTAAAGTCGACTCAAATTCCCTTCCACGACTTCCCCAATTTTCATACAAATAGAAAAACAAAATAAAAACAAAAACAGATTATAATTATGCACCCTTTGGATCCCCAAACTCCACCCCCCCCCTTTCCCGGTTTCAATCCCCAACAAATGTCTAACAATCTTCTACTATCAGCCTGGAGATCTCACGTCCGAGGCTCTTAATTCTCTCTCAGTTCCTCTCTGCCGGTTTTTTTGATAGTCCTTGATATTAAACACCAGATCTCGGAGAAGCTCTAGCCAAATGGGATCCATGTTTCTTCCAGCCAGACCTCCATCCTTATAAGTGGAGCCCGAATCTTGTTTCTTGCTCCTTTCATGTCCAAATGTCCCCAAAGCTGCAGCTTCCACCTTGATCAGATTTGTAATCCTTGGATCTTCAGATCTCCACATAAGGAGATCTCTCCATTCTTCAATCTCCAATTCAAACCAGATTTCCGACATCAAGTTCTTATTTTCCTTTGCAGCCATCATGTCAGGCCTCTGGCTCTCCTTTGTCATCTGCAGCATTGCAGCTCCTCCTTCCTTTTCCTCAGGAACAACATATATCTCTTTCTCCACACTCTCAAAGTTCTCAAGTTTCTCTTCTTGTCCAGCTGCATAAACTTCCTGAGTCAAGTCCTTATCAAATTCAATGAATTTATTTACTGTTAAGTCCAGAGTTGCAACATTTGTAGCCAAAACATCAATTTGGCCTTGTAACTTTCCCAAGAGAACAAAAACTCTGTCCAATTTAGCTTGTATTTTCCCTCCTTCAGCCATTCTTGTAATGTCCCAAAACCCCCTCTAGAGGGATTTTGGTTACTTAATATTCCTTCCAGTTCAAATCCAAAAGTCAAGTTAGTTTGTATCAGTTCTTCCTTGTTTTCAGCAAATTATAACCAAATTGTAACAAATATAACCAGCAGAGACAACAGAAACAAAGTTCTCTTTCCCAGCTTTGACAGCTAATTTGACAGCTGTCAAACTCTTCAATACCTCTTCAACAGGCTCTCTCGCGGATCACTCCCGGGTCCGGGGGGGGGTGGCACTTCAGCTCCCAAAATTAGTTCTTATCCTCCAGTTAAATTACTTATATTGCCAAATCGTGAAATTAATGTCTTTTATCCAATAAAAAAGAAAAAATTCTCTCGACCTTAGTTAGCTGATCCTTGCTTATGATTATTTACAAGACGGGGAGACGGACTTCCTGCTTGCGCCTTCCCCGATCGTGCCTAATTCAAAAAGAAGGTTTTCCTTTGTAAATCCAATTTCCGTACTACTCACGGGTTGTTGCTTTTAAGGTCCAATTGTTCACAGGAAAAAGTCAGCGCTCTCCGGCTATGGCATGCGGCTTCACTCCGCAGGAGAAGCAGTCGACTCTCAGCACCGCGCCGCTCACCCCGTCCCCCATTCCGAAGCCTTTAAAAAGGCTCCTTCGCGGGTCGGGGGGCGCAAATGGTGCCCGCCGAGTCACCAAGTTCACAGGCTTCACCGCCTGTGATTTCTGAGGGTCTCTGCGTCGCCGCCGCGGCAAGACCCAACTCCTGCAGAGCCAATTCCCTCCGGAGCTCAGAGGGAATCCGCCATTAGCCGTTGGCGCTAACCCGGAAGTCTTATCAGTCACTACTTTGTCTTCACTGCTTGGCTAAAAGCACTGAATGGTGGGACCAGCCAGGCTGGTTCATCTTACAAAAATTAGTTAGAAAGCTGCCTGCACATTTTGCATCAATTTACCTTCCTTCTCAGGAGGATATAGGCTTACTTAAAAATAAAAATAAATCAAAGTCTGGACCCCCTTGCAAGGGTGGGCCCAAGTGCACCATTAGCATCTGAAGTTGAGCCTGGGAAGTTTTCCATTATCTTAATGAAGATCAGCAAAGTACAGACTGAGAACTGTATTATAAGTCTGACAGATTAATTTCGACCCACTGAAAGCCAGTTTTCGCCTGCAAAATGCAGACAAAAGAGGTCAAACTTAAGACAGTCAAAGGGTGCTCATTTAGTCATATCGGAGATCTTCCTTGAAACTTGACCCCTGAACTACTGATATTTGTTTGTTTGCATTTTTGATATTTCAGCTGCTTCTAATATCTGTTTTCTGCTTGGTTGCAACTTGCTTGCTTAGAAGCCAGCAGTCTTTATGATCTTTCTTGGTAGGGGATTTTTATGCCTATAAATAAGCAATAAACATGATTTATAATTGATGGCAGTTTCCAAAAGGTGACTAGTTAAGAGGCATGCATATTCAAAGGGCAGTTTAATGCCAGTAAAAATTGATTTCCTCTCAATTATATATTTGATGCCCTGCATTGCCTAATTTTTCATTACTGTTGAAGGCAATGATGAAGGCATTTAACTGCCAAATTGATCCATTTTACTATTCGTTTGTTTGACAGCTTGTGGCTGGGAGAACAAAAAAGCCGCATTTCTGTGTGATAAATATTTGCTGTGGCAAAATTACTCTTCGAGAACTGCACTCCTTTAAACGAGCGCGTGAGTGACAGAAGCATCAAAATAATTCCAACCACGCTATTTAAGAAAATGTAGCTACTGCATGAGCAAAGATCTCAGTGTTTGACACTTCATTAGAAATCTCTCAGGGTTTCTTACTGGAAGGTTTGTAATGAATCCCATCTTGTACCTGTTTATGGACTGCATTCTATCTTGCTCCTTCCTCAAAGGAGCTCAGAGTGGTGAACATGGCCTCCGCCAAATTTTGTCCTTACATCAATCCTGGAAGTTAGGGCCAGTCACAATCTCTCAACCTACTATAAGTCCTAAAGTGGGTTTTTGAACCTCTCTCTCTCCAGGGCAAGGGACGCGGGTGGCACTGTGGGTTAAACCACAGAGCCTAGGACTTGCCGATCAGAAGGTTGGCGGTTCGAATCCCCGTGATGGGGTGAGCTCCCGTTGCTCGGTCCCTGCTCCTGCCCACCTAGCAGTCAAAGTCAAGTAGATAAATAGGTACCGCTCTGGCGGGAAGGTAAACGGCGTTTCCGTGCGCTGCTCTGGTTCGCCAGAAGCAGCTTAATCATGCTGGCCATATGTACGCTATACGCCGGCTCCCTCGGCCAATAAAGCGAGATGAGCGCCGCAACCCCAGAGTCGGTCACGACTGGACCTAATGGTCAGGGGTCCCTTTACCTTACTCTCCAGGGCAACACTCTCTCTGCTATGAACAATGGCTCTCAATGAGAGGTGGGAGGTTATATGATGCTGTTAAGCAGAACGTTGGTCATAGAATTGGATAGTGAAATCACTGCTGACAGCCCCTCCCCCCCATTAACCATGAAGCTGAATGAGCCAGGGTTAATCTTCTACCCTCAGGCAGGAGATGCAGAATTATAACCAGTCGTACCAACAGGCTTATTATGTATTGAGGTGGGTCACCCTGGCCACCAGGGGTATTATGTATATAGTTTTCACTCAGGTCCGCATCAGTTAAATTAGGCAGGAAACCCTGGGTTGTTGTTACAATGTTGACAACCGTCTGCCTATAAAAGCAGGCCGGCTGAGCTGTTCAGTTCAGTTCAGTTCAGTTCCAGCTTACTTATAAAGAACTACTTGGAGGAATCTCTGTGTCGTCTGCTTTGTCAACCCACTACTTAATACTAGCGACAAAGGTGGGATAAA